TTATATTTTTTTAATATATTAAAATATTATTTATTATTATTAAAAAATAAATATATTATAAAAAATAAATTATAAAATATATAAATATAATATTTCAAAAAATAGAATAATATATATTTTTAAATTTATAATTAGAAAAATAAAATATAATAATAATAATAATTATTATTTTAAAATATATATATATGGAATTATATATATTTCTTAATAATAAATAAATTCAATAAACATTATTTTATTAATATTCAAAATATAAAATTTTAGAATTATTAAAATATAAATTTTATATTAAAAAAATAATATTAATACATGGTATTTTATTTTTTAAAATTATATATATATAATATTATATTTTTCGCACTCTTTATTTGATATTCCTCATTTATTATTTTCCAATTATCCATATTCTATATCCTATACTCCACATTTTTAGTCTACCCTACACTCTATATTCCATCCTTAATATTTCTCATCCCACATTTTATACTCCACACCCTGCACTCCCCACTACACACTCTCACTCCACACTCTACAATCCACACACTACACTTAACACTCAACACTTTACTCCATCCTTCACATCGACACTCACACTCCTACACTCTGCACTACCACTCAACTCTCTGTACTCCACTAATTACACTCTTCACTTCACACTATACTAATTTGGCAAAACTGTTGTATCATTATAATAATTTATTTTGCATAAATCGTAAGTTACATCATAATCAATATCCAAAAAACATTTAGTTATTTTACAATGTTATATATCCTAAAATTAATCTTCCTAAATTAAAATTCCAATTTTTTCCCAAAATTATTATATATTATAGGTAATATTTAAATATTAGTTCAAATTATTCTTCAGTGATTTTAAAATCTCATCGTCCTATAAATTACAGATGCTACAAATAATATACTACCAAATATAAATATCAAACATCGGCAAAATAATTTCAAATCATAATATTTATATATGTATATGCAATATTAAAAAATATTATTTGCTTTAAAAAAAAAAAAAAATATGTTCCATATCTTACTCAAAACCCTCCTTAAATAATTACACCGAGACATCTCTTTTATAATATTACATATATATACACCAAAATAACACGCATAAACTTATGTAATCCTATAATAAATAGATAAATAAATAAATAAATAAAAAATAAATAAATTAAATAAATTAAATAAATAAATAAATATATATATATATTATTCCCGGACAATTTCCACAAACAGGATAACGAAAAAGAAAAAACAAAGAAGGGATGAAGAACAGATGCCGGACAAAGGACAAATGATAACGGGAAAGAATGGAAGATGGAGGATAAAAGAGGAATGCTACATTATAAACAATGAGGAAAATGATAGTTAAAGTTAATAGATAACAAGGATCTGGGTATGATTTTTTTTGTCTTGGATTTGATTCTGTTGGAAATAACGGGTCGTCCCTTTGTGGATAAATATGATTAGGTATATGTTTTCTTGTTGTTCTGTTTCTCCTCTCTTGATGTTAGTCGTGGCCCGCAGCGCAGCCCTGGTTGGCCTGTGTCAAGTATCGCCCAGTTACAAGGAGGGTAAATTGGGCAAGGACGTGACATCACTAATTTCCCACCCTTGCGGCTAGCATTTACCCATAATTGGTTGGAGCAACCTTGTTATTTGTTGGTTATAACATGTACCCACTTTATGTAAATGGGGTGCACCCCGAAGTAAGTCATGATTCATGACTGTTCTTGGCACCAATTTATAAGAGTATATATATATATCTATATATATATATACACTCATATATATATATATATATATATGTATGTGTGTGTCCCCCTGAAAGTGTCATAGAGCAAGGCATGCATGAAAAATATGATGAACAACTAATGATGATTGCACCGCAGGATGTGCCCGTATGTGTGGTACTAGCTCAAAAAAGCAATGTGGTAAACCCAATGATAAACCATCATCCCTAATATCACCATCAATGGGTTGTAACCATCATGTCGAAATTTTAGGTTCATCATTGGGTTGCCCACATTAGTTTGTTTTTCCATCCTATTCTTTCTTGCGATGAAGTTGGAACATTAGCTTCGACCTCCAACACGTGGTGCTGAGCCACTAGCCTTCACGAATCATGAACCTACCCAACCAACGGTCGAGAAAAAAAGGAAGCCTTCAACATCTTTTTGGCGATCCAAAAAGACACCGGTTTCAGTGTGAAACCAGGATGTTAGTTCGATGGTATTAACATATCTCCAGGTGTCTCACTGTTCAAGCACTGTTTTAGGGGTTGATTATATATATATATATTGTATATATTGTATATATATATAGGGTTTCTTAAAATGGGAAACCCAAGTTACCATAGGTTTCAATCCGATAGTTTGGTCATGACTGGATGATGAATGGCCTCCTCATAAGACCTGCGGATCTGCGCTGCAGAGTCCTTCAAGCTGGAGACATCAGGGGCTCCCAGCCCAGCCGCCTGGAATCCCAAAGAAATGGAGGCGTGCCATGGGAAAATCCTGAGAAAATCATAGGAACATCCACTAAAAATATATGGAGCTTCTAGAGTTGATCATTTGAGGTCGATGATTTTTAGCAACCCCTTTTTTGGAGGATTGAAACCAATGATTTTTTCTTTCAGAATAGGGCACCCCAAAGTTCCCGAGTACCTAATGTGAACCCAGCAGCTCGGATGGCAAAGAGTTTCTACGAAGCAACCTACGAAGCAACCAGGGGCCTAGAACTGCTCCAGATATCGCCATTGAAACAATTCTCCAACCAGCCATTCGGCCCTCTCCAGTACCCTCCGGAAATTTTTCACATAGCTATTGAACATGGCCCAGTCGAGTCATCATTGATTTACCCGTGAAAGATGGATAAAATGGTGGATCTTTCCATCGTTTTTTGTGTTAGTTTACCAGGCCGGGTAAACCAAACACCATTGGAAGATCCACCGAATTCCATGGGGATTTCCGACGGAACCTGGAAGCGATGCAGCAAGAAAGCCATGCCCTGCACCACGAAATGTGCCTGGAACGGCCAGGCAAACCTCTGGTGATATCTGCGCAATTCGGCTGAAAATGGGATATAATATGATATAAATCCCCTAAACATTGGATCTTAACAGACATTGGTTACAAATGGGCCATGAACAAAATGCCTTGGTTGATTGGTTAATATAAGGACTTACACTATCTAATTTAGTTGGGATACCCTACCAGTAGGGTAAACGTTCATATAGATGTGGGAAACCCCTGTTTTTCCAATGGGAAAATGATGCAAAATGGTGGTGTAAGCCATCAACACATGTCGATTTCTCGGGATTTAATGTAGGGTTTACCCTCAGGTAATTTAAGATAGCTACGGAGAATGACCCCTTTATAGATGATGAACATATTGAAAATGATGATTTTCCAAATATGTTAAAATACCGTACCAGAGGGTTAAAGAAAACTATTGGAGATGTTCTTTGGGTTGTGCCCCTACATTGCCAGTCACCTATGAAAAAAACCACCGTTGAGCACTGGCCAACCGGTTGACCTTCACGTTTTTTGTCACCCATGAACGGCCATCTGAATGGGAACAATGATCTTCACCAAAGTGTTTGATTCGGCCTATCCCCCATCTCCCATGAAAGAGTTACAGTAGAGATGACATAGCAAAAAAACCTCAAGACTGAGCAATTATCAACATGATTCTCCTCAAAACCGATTGCGCCCCAATTATCGCACCGTTCATTAGTGCTGATCGTTTATCCCATGTATGATGCATATCCCACATTTTTGGTGACATCATTGGTGGCAAAACCCTGGTGGTTTCATGTGTTTTTCAAATCGTTCGCCATTCTTCAAGATGTTTTCTTCAGCATATCTTCCAATTTCCAAGCAAATCCAGGTTTCGCACTTCTCCCCATGTTTTCCCCCATGTTTTCCCAGGCGTTGCTCCCTTACCCAACCACCGGCGGTCTTAGATCGTCGCCTGCTGCAGGGTCTGCTTGGCCAACGGCGAGCCGCAGCCCTCGAGCTGCACGAAGTCACCGAAGGCGTCGCCGTCGCGGATCACCGCGGACAGTTCGCCCAAGAGGTTGGACACCTGCGGAGATCGGTTGGACACCAGCTGGGTTTTACCCGGCCTGGTAAACAGTCACAAAAAACGATGGAAAGATCCACCATTTTTCATGGGTAAATCAACGATTTCGACTGGGCCATGTTCAATAGCTATGTTAGTTTACCAGAGGGTAAATGTGGACACTATTAATGGATAAAAAAAAGTGTCGACTCTATATGTGGATAATTTTTTTGGATGTGTGGATAATATTAATTGGAATCTATGTTGGGGATGGAGATGGGAAGGGGAGAAATCCTCAGCTCATCCCATCTTCAGATCTCCATATTGTCCCATTGAATGGGATAATGCTAGTCCTATGGGCCACCCAGTGCTACCAACACGTGGTCAATTTAAGCAGCATTGAGAGTTCACCACCGAAACATTGGATTTAAACAACAGTGAATGATGGTAAATGGGGATTTACCCACCAATCAAAAGATAAAGATATGGGGATAATGGTAGGAGTTACTGGAATATGTTTTGACCCATATGGAACTAGATTCTATATTTCAATTGTGATAGTGAAAATTGGCAAATCCGACTAAGCACCAACAATAGGGATCACAATGAGATGCACTGAACCTCAAAATGCTACTCCAATGATTAATCAGTAAAGTTGATATTCCAATCTCAAAGGCCGAATGTGGCTCATGGGGAATGTCATCTGCCAAAAACCACCAGATCCCAACATCCCAGGTGCTGGGGTTGACCCACTTGGTGGTCAATAACCATAGTTCATCCATGGGATAACCATGAAATTCGGGGACCCAAACCGTGGGATGTCATGATTGGGACATGGACGTTGAACCCAACCAGTCGCCATGTGTCGCCATGTTTAACGAGTTGTAAAACATTGGTTTCAACCAACCATGCTTGGACTGAAAATACGCTATCTCATGGACACCTTTTTGATATGGGATATATATCTGGCGATACGGGACAATCGATCCAACACTTGGGATTTTCATGGGGAATCAAAAAATCAAGCCCCAGAAAGACGGGGGTTGAACCATCAAATTAGGGGCTTGCTGGGTAAAGCAATACAGCTTTACGTCTGAACATGGGATATGCTCCAGTTTATGGCCATTCTATCTTGCCGTCCAATATGAAAACAATTGAAAACACATGGTGTGGATTGAAAACCCATCCACAATTGGGGATTGTTATGACGTTGATAACGAATGGCCGTGATGATGACTCTTGACGGTGATCGCACTTATTATACTTATTGATAGGTTTCTAAGTATACTAATTATACTTATTAATGATACTAACTATACTTATGAATGATACTTATTATACTTATTAATGAGTTATACATAAATTGATGGTTTGTTACTCATCCAACTGTCATAAACAAACTTACCCGCCAGGTACATCCAGGTACCACCCTTGGTTTCATCAGGCAGGAATCCCTGCTGTTGATCGTTAAGTCACCATTATTTTATTTTATCATTTACCGGTAAATATATTTAAATCGACTTTTACGTTCTTGGAATATCCCATTCTATTCCTTGATCGTCCCATAAAAAAAAAAAAATCCCAGCAGTTTCTCACTGATTGATCCCAAAAAATCACCAGCAGCCGCCTCTCGCCAGGTGGTCTTCAACTTGCCATGACCCTTCTTCATCTTGGAGATGCTGGCGGCATAGCTCTGCAACAGGCCTTCCAAATCTGCCTGGCGCAAGTGGCGGGTTCGGACCCGGTTTTTCGGACCGGACCGACATGAAACATGCTGAGTAACTGACCATCAGAAATTGCAGAACATGTGGTTTAGACATCAAAACATGGGAAACCATGCTGGTTTTACCATCAAAAATGGTGGGTTTTGCGATAGTTTGACCATGAATCTCGATTTAAGCAATGGATTATCCGCCAAACCCTCCCGTCTTGGCCCTCCCTATCTGCTGCTACCGTAGTGGGTGGGGGTCTACCATCAACTGCAAATTGGTGTATCATTCAAAGAATGCCATGAAAATCGAAAAAATAAACTCTTTGAATATCTCTTGGGGTCCTAAGATTGACTTCAAGACTTGCCCCATGTTTCCGGCCCGATTTTTTTGACCTTTCATAAAGGCCTGGCAATTCTCGTAGTTGGACAAGGCCACGAAGGATTGCTGGATGTGACGGACTTCGCTGTCCGCAACTTCCAGGTAACCATCCAGGTGGTCGCGGATGCGCCACCACAGGTGGTCCAAAGTCATCAAGGTTTTGCTGCTGCTGCTGCGTTTCTTCCAGCTTCGGGAAGCCTTGTGCACCAAGTGGTTGTGGGCACGATAGACACCTGGGCGAAAAAAACACCAGTGCTTTAGATAGCGATATTCATGTAGCAGCATATCTAATGTGATAAATCCCACAACTAACAATATCTACTTACGGTTATCTACTGTTATCTACTGTTATCTACTGTTATCTACTGTTATAAATCCTCCAAAGAACACTTCAACAGGCGGTTCACAAAAGTGTTGTCATCCCACCGGTAACCAACAGTAAGTGGCTTACCCGAGTGGTGGATTAACTCTACTTCTCCCACTTATAAAACATTTCATAAAACTGGGGTTATGACCCAGTTACATCCCATTTACCATTCGTGGTTTCGGAACCTCCCGTAGCCCAGCCAAGCTACCCAGCACTCGCTCCTGCTCCGCGATGCGCTTCTGCAGCTGCTGCACTTCATGGCTGATCTGCCGACCTACCACCTTGGCTCGCGACAAGCCACCGCTGCTCAACAGCAGTGAGTCGTGGAGCATCTGCACCTCAGCTGGAGTTGGATCCAGATGAAATCAGAACCATAACCCAAGTGGAAATGATGATTTGTAGTACCCACTTAGGTTATTAAAAAAATAAACATATTAGAACTAGTAGATAAATAAATAGTCATTTACCACCAGATCATAAATAAATCAGTACAAAAAATAGTAGTACAAATAGTAGTTCTGATCATAAAATTACCCGTATGGTAGTGGGGAATTCAATGTCAGGGGGATGGGATTGCAACATTCACTGGGAGTTCTGGAAATGGTGGAGGCAAACTCTCACATCTCCAAATTCACATGCTGGAGTTCACTTTTATAAAAATGGATGTGCCTTCAAGTGGGGTATACCTCCAAATGGCCAATTGAAAGGGAAAAAATGATGATCAACCACTGGATTTAGAGGTTTTTCCTAGTATGTTCGGACCCAAATCCCAATAGAAACCCTCCAAATCCCCTCCATCGAAATCCTCCAGTTCACCGTTTCTCTCAATCCGAAATCCTCCAACTCTTCCCCCGTTCGGGGCACCTGTCCATGGAAGCGTTTCGCCTGGCTCCAGCGCTCCGAGGCGTTCTGCGCGTCCAGCTGCTGCGCGCCGCGGAGTAAGGTCTCCAGGGCGTCGTGGGCGCCGCGCCGGGAGACAGTGCCTGGGAAATATCAATGTGGACTATTTTTGGGGGATACAATGGTTATATAGTCATTAGGGGGATAATTATTTTGGGGTGATTATAATGATTCAATGATTATTAATGGTTCGCTAGGGGGCTGACGTTTGCCCGAAATCCACGGAATTCCATGCGGGACTGCAATCTGCTGTGTTGTTTCCGTGCGTGTTTTTCACCTTTTGAAGCGTATCTTAAAGATATCCTCCGTAATTTGCAGTGTTTTGAGCCGTTAACTGAGACCTCAACAAAGCGCAAGACTTTGAAAGAACACCAAAATAACCTAACCCTAAATAAACCCTAAACAAACCCTAAACCAACTCTAAATCAACCATAGATAACCCTAAATAGACACTAAAACAACCGTGAGCAAACCCTAAAACAACCCTAAATAGCACGAAAATTAACCTTAAACAAACCCTAAAGAAAATCTAAACCAACCCTAAGCAAACCCTAAAACAAACTGAAATATATTTTGAACAAATCACAACGTAACTACACCCCCAATGAAACTTTGGGCGAACGTCCGCCCCGGAGGGTAATGGTTATAATGGTTATAGTGGTAATAGTCATATTGGTATCAAGTATCATATTACAACCATTGAAAAAGTTTGTATATATCATTCTATTCCAAACAAAAACATGATATTCCATAGTTTACCATTCTTAAAGCCATGATAACCATTATACATCTCCAAAAAAAAAGTCCCAGGGATATATTGGGGCTGTCATTATCGAAGGAAGTTTAGAAGTCAAACTACCGACAACGATGGAAAAGCAGAGGTGGGAAGAGTCAGAGACGAGAAGAGCAGAAGAGAGAAGATCAGAGAAGAGAAAGAGGAGAAGAAAGAAGATGCAGGTGCGCGAAAAGGTAGCAAAGTCGCGAAACACTGTGGCCAGATGAGAGATGAAAAATTGCACGCCGTTGTGGCGCGAAGCACATTTCCAAGTCAAAATGTACAAAACACATCATTCTCGGACCACTTTTGGAAGTTGAGATGTTGAAAAAGTGCACGCCGTTGCGGCGCGAAGCACATTTCCAAGTCAAAATGTACAAGACACACCATGTTCGGAGCACTTTTGGAAGTTGAGATGATGAAAAAGTGCACGCCGTTGTGGCGCGAAGCACATGTCCAAGTCAAAATGTACAAAGCACACCAGCTTCGGAGCACGTTTGGAAGTTGAGATATCGAAAAAGTGCACCGTGGTGGCGCGAAGCACATGTCCAAGTCAAAATGTACAAAACACACCATTCTCGGACCACTTTTGGAAGTTGAGATGTTCAAAAAGTGCACGCCGTTGTGGCGCGAAGCACATTTCCAAGTCAAAATGTACAAAGCACACCAGGTTCTGAGCACTTTTTGAAGTTGACATGTTGGAAAAGTGCACGCCGTTGTGGCGCGAAGCACATTTCCAAGTCAAAATGGTCAAAAAAAACACATGTTCGGACCACCTTTGGACGTTCAGATGTCGTTTCGTGTGGCAGGCGCACGGGATTGTGAACCTTGTCAAAAGTGAGCAAAACATGAGTAGGGTTTTGTAGCAGTTTCAACTACAACCACCACTACACTACATACACTAAACTACACTCCACTCCACTCCACTACATTACACTACATTGCACTACACTACACTACAACCACAACTACAACTACACCTACAACTACACCTACAACTACACTGAATTACACTACACTACACTACACGACACGACACGACACGACACGACACTACACTACACTAACTACAACTACAACTACAGCTACCACTACCACTACCACTACCACTACATAACACTACATAACACTACATAACACTACGTAACACTACGTAACACTACACTACACTACACTACACTACGCTATGCTACGCTACGCTACACTACACTACACTAATTACACTACGCTACACCGCACCACACAACACGACACTACACTACACTAACTACAACTACAGCTACAACTACACCACTTTGCACTACACTAGACTAGACTACACTACCCTACACTACCCTACATTACATTACATTACACTCATTACACCACCACAAATGCAACTGCAACTACACTACACTAATTACACTACACCACAACTACAACTCCACTACACTACAACTACAACTACAGCTGCACTACACCACACTACATCCAGCAGTTGTGGGTGATGTGATCGACCCGGTGACAAAAAAAAACTCCAACCACCTTTCAGTCCATCAGTGGATTCGCTCTGCCATCCGTGATTCACAACAACCAACCTCTCCCGCCTTGTGCGCTACTACTGGTACTCACGAAGTGAATGTCATGGTGAATATAATGGAGAAAGCCTTTTGGGGATACAAACCAACTATATTAAACAAGGGTAAACTATAGAATATAATGGTTTTTGGAATATCATATGAGAATTTTTGGAATATCATGATAACTTCTGAAGTGGGTATAATGGAGACCAAAATGGGGAACTCAACTTCATAGCTCTATATCAGCTATAGACTGAGATGCTGTGGATGGACAAAATCCTGCACCAGTTGCCTATGAAACAAGGTAAATAATGAGATATAGTGGGATAAACCATCTACCAACTGGTGCGGGATTTCCACCATCCACAGTATAATGGGAATATAACGGGGAACTTGGCTTCAAAGTTCTATATCAGCTATAGACTGATGATGGAGGTATTATGTTAGTAAAGCAATGGTTTGGTTTATACCACCCACCCGTATTTTGATGGTGTATAACACCAATTTACAGCTGATTTGGGGATGGTTCACTATTGCTTTACTAACATTAGCGGAAATGTAAGGGGGGGATAAAACTAACGGGGATGTTCTTTTGGATATACACCAACTAACAATGGTAATAATGGAATATAAGGGAACTACACATATATATATAGCTATAGTGGATATCATATTGTATATAATAAATAAATAGTGCATAGATATATAACTTATGGAAGTGCAGCTTATCGCCTTCCGTCGCCACCTATGGCTTGGCCCACTGCGGTGAACTAAGTGAACTAAGTGGATTTTGTTCCCTAGACCAAACTGACAGTTCGATGTTGAAAACCATGAGCTTCCCCGGGAAAATCGTCTACAAATGGTTGATTTTCCACATCTATGTTAGTTTAATTTAGGGTAAGTGTAGTTATAGGATTATAGGGTCTCCATATTCCATCTTCTTGTAAACCCATCATAAAATCACCAGAATTCCACGAAATCTCTGGTTTGATCCAGGCGACTGAAAGACGCTGCATCCGCATAGCCGCGCATCTCTTTCATCATGGCCTGCAGACTTGGACTTCACCACGGATTGGCCTTTTAAAGCTGCCATGACTCGTGACAGTTGCTTTGTTTTTTTTACCATCTTGTTATTTAACATAGCCATAGAAAATAACCATTTTAAATAGGTAAACCATCTATAAATGGGCCATCTATACCATGGCTATGTTAAATAACCAGAGGGTAAGTGATTCTGAGATTTCAACAAAAAAAATAGCAAGAGGATTTTTCCATGAGGAGTTCCATGACATGATATCTATGATATTCTATGATTGTATAATAACAATAACGATTCGTATTTTATGGTGGGATGATATCGCAACCAAGATGAGGTGCAGAAGCCGCCTGTGTCTTAGCAGCTGTGTCTTTCAAGAGCAGCTTGGGATTGGTGTTCTGGGCGATGTGTTCCAGGTAGATGGTATTCACTTTCCTGGTGGGCTGATGTGGCTAAAACATGCTAAAACTTCGAACAGTTCAAACAGTTCGAAATGAGCTTGATTTTCCTTTGATTCACTGAAGTTTAATGAAACTGTATCATGCTTTTCAACAAACGGAATCGCTAAGATCAAAGTCACCTTTAAGTCTGCCAAGGTTCAAAGAGTGATCAATCTTCTTGTCCAGATATTCCGTCTCTGCTCGGTTGGCCTCGCGAAAATCAGGACACATCTGGATCAATCTATCAAGATGTAGGAAACTCAAACATCAACCTACCATTTGGGATGGTTTATATCACCCAAAAAAGTGGTGATTTTGGGGTTGACAGCATTGGGTTTAGCATATTCATCCATTTCTTGGGATGATGCCATTGTTACAATAGATATCAATAGCTCAGGAGAAAACAGGTCCAATCATCTTTGGGCCACCAAAGTCTAGTTCCACCTGGCCCCCAATGATCTGGGAATAGGTCCGAAAATTCTCAACTTCTCATTAAAAAAATGGATTATCAATTATAAATTATACCCAGTGTGTTTCCTTTATTAATATTAACAGTCACCTTTTTCATGCTACAAGCTCCCCATCTCATCTGAGATCTCCCTATCTGCCACCTCAGTGGACCACTCCACCATTTTCTTCATGTTGTCATTGGAGATCTTCGTGGCTTTCTCCAAGTTGTTGATGATGGATCGGTCGCCACGGATCACCGCATCGCGGACGCAGTGGATGTCACCTTTGTGAGTTAGTTGGTTGATGATCAAACACAGATGTTTTTGTGCTTCATTAAAGTGAGGAAATCCATGGAGGTGTAATAGTTGGATCATGTAACCAGATTCCATGAAATCACTTACCTCATTTTTCTGAACGTGATGAGTTGTACAGCAGGTCAATCATGGTGTCCAACCACTTCTCCGAGTGACAGAAGGCTCGGGAGAAGCCCACTTGGAAGGGGTTACAGGCGTTGAAGCCTTCCTCTTCCAGTCCGAAATTGGTCGATGCAAAGCCGAAGCCAACAGGGAGATCAATCAGGGTTCGCACGAAATCAACCACCTGAAGTGACAAAACCTTGGAGAAAATCCAAAACTCCAAGATATGATTTCTGCCCGTTTGAGGTGATGTCCCACTTCAATTGGACCACACTTAGTGGGAAATCAGCTCAAAGCGAGGATCTTGTTACCCTCTGGCAACTTGTGTGCCATAGCTATGGGGAAATTGCAGTCTTTAAAACCGGTAAATCCTTTCACACTATCTCTGAACTTCATTGTATACTCATTACACCAGAGGGTATACATCACCATGTTATATCCCATGAAATTTTCATTTATACAAATGGCATACTATTTTTTACATGAACATCCCAACTATCCTATATTTTTAAACTTCATTTCACCATTTTGTTTGGCTTTACCCTCTTCCCATCTACCATACCCACCTGGTCGCAGATGTTATCGGGTTTCGCCTCAACTCCGGCGCCCAACGGGGCGATTTCGATGCCCGGCACGGCCGCACACAAGGTCTTGACACCTTCCTGGATGGCGTTCGCCACCAACTCGTAGCCGGCTTCAGAGAAGGCCACCTATGTCAAAAGGATTCAAAAGGGAGCAAGTTGGTCACCAAAAAGTGAAGGAAATTCATGGGAAATGTCCGATTGTCCGAGTTTCATGGCGCTTAATTAGTGCTTAATCCAGGATAAACTATGATAAACTTACAAAGGAATCTCTTAGGACTAGACTTTTCTATATCTGTTTGAATCTTTTTGGGTGCGAGAATGATGTGCCCATTGGTTTTGTAGAGAAAGGACATCAATATGTACCACTCAATGACCAGAACAGGAGCCCAAATGGGGCCTTTGGGAAACTTGGTGGCGCCCAAAACATCATCATGTTCATCATGAATTCCAGCCTTGGCTGCCACCAAATCACGGTTGATGTCACCCTGCATACAGTCGTTCCAATCGGAGTAGAGCATGTTCTCAGGTGCCATCTGACCACTTTGCCCTGCCATGCGCCCAAAGATGCCACCAGCACCAGCTGCCACAGCACAGGGGTGGTAGTCTAGCAGCTCCTGTCCTTCGGTTCCCGGATCTGCTTCTAACTTCGCTTCTTCGATCACCTCTTCCTTCTCTTCATTCACATGGGTCTCAATGACCTTCTTCCACAGGTCCTGAAAAACTGCCGCTTTCAAACGCGTAACTTCGAGCATGATGGGATGATGATTGGATGATGATGGGATGATGACGGGATGCTATACCATACCACACTATACCTTTGGGGGCCTTTAAGTGACTGAAGGACGGATCACGGACGTATTTAAGCAGCGAAGCAGCTGACTGGTCCTGATAGTCGAGACATTCCTCGGAGTATTGCGGCATGGTTGCCTTGAACTCCTGCAGCACGAGCCGCAACGGGAGTGAAAGCCTTGAAGCTTGGCTGCAAAATCATCGTAAATCAACTTCACATTTAGAACATGTTGTGTAGTTATGGTCATATGCATATATATATATATGATGTATATACATCTATATATTATAATTATATATATACACATAATTATGTATAATTATACATTACATAATATATACGTAAGAAGATCAACAAGATTTCGATCTACACTTAGTTCTCAACGTCCTGCAGCTTGGGTTTGGGCGGCTGCGCTGGCCGCTTCGGTGGTTTCAAGGCCTTCAGCTTCTTGGCCAAGTCCCCTGCGCTGTTTCCGCCCATGGAGGGAACGCCCTTGGCTTCGAACTTACCATCGAAGTCCGTGACGTTCACCACCTTCGGCCAAGTCGATGATGGGTCGTTGTGAATCTTCACTTTTTCGACTGGGGACTGGGGATGACTATCATATCATATTACTCTAATAATTGTTGAAACATATAGAGTTCACTCTATTTGAATGGGGATTTACTTTTCGGCATCTTTTGGGGGGTGTCTAAGAATGAAATAAACAGCAAAAAACTGGCCTGCTAGGGTGTTCCAACAGTCGAGATGAAATGATCACGACATTGTGTTTTTTTGGAGGATGCCGCCGCTTGGACGACAATTTTTTTCTCCCCAATGAATTATCGGATATTGTATTCCCACTATAGTTGGTTATCAACTGTAATTATCCAGCTGTATCCCCAAATATATCCCCATCATATCCCCAAGATTATTCGGGGATCCGTATTAGATTCATATAAAATTCCATTACGAAACTGTAAATGAGAACCGAGATTCGTTTTCGGCATCTACAGCCAGTGTTGTGGACCATCTGGGAGGCAATTCTCAAAAAAACCCTCTGGTGACTCTGGTGAAGCATCAGTTTCCCCATTTTTTCCATGAAAATTGCCATAAAATCTCGACTGGGGCGAATCCCCAGGGGTCAACCCTTCCACCAACGTCCACGGTGACGCTCGCCTCATGGCTTGTCATCATCACCCCAATGGGACTCGCTCCACCCACCGCGGAGGAACAGTCCGAGCCGACGCACCAGGCACCGCTGTTTTGGAAACTCAACACATCACCGGTGACCACGTTCTCGTAGTCGTAACGCCCGGTGTGCGCATTCAGAGTCTTGGGGCAAAACCTGAATCTTGCCCGAAAAACACATGGAGACTCATGATGGCCCCTGAAAACACCAAGATCTGCCCGGACAATGGTAGTCATATAAACACATGTATGTATGTCATGTCATGTCATCTCATGTCATGGTATTGTATGATATGTTATGGTAATGTAATGCAATGTAATGCAACGCAATGCAACGCAATGCAATGCAATGCAATGCATGCATGTATCTATGTATCTAAGTACCTATGTCAGTATCTATGTATCTATCTATTTATGTATGTATGTATGTAAGTATGTAAGTATGTAAGTATGTATGTAAGTATGTATGTAAATATGCAAGTATGTAAGCATGTAAGCATGTAAGTAATGTATGTAATGTAATGTGATGTGATGTGATGTGATGTAATGTAATGTAATGTAATGTATGTATGTATGTAATGTATGTAACCTATGTAACCTATGTAATCTATGTAATGTATGTATGTTATGTACGTAATGTACGTAATGTATGTATGTTATGTACGTAATGTACGTAATGTACGTAATGTACGTAATGTACGTAATGTACGTAATGTACGTAATGTACGTAATGTACGTAATGTACGTAATGTACGTAATGTACGTAATGTACGTAATGTACGTAATGTACGTATGTACGTATGTACGTATGTATGTATGTATGTATGTATGTATCTATGTATCTATGTATCTATGTATCTATGTATCTATGTATCTATGTATCTATGTATCTATGTATCTATGTATCTATGTATCTATGTATCTATGTATCTATGTATCTATGTATCTATGTATCTTTGTATCTATGTATCTATGTATCTATGTATCTATGTATCTATGTATCTATGTATCTATGTATCTATGTATCTATGTATCTATGTATCTATGTATGCATGTATGCATGCATGTATGTATGTAGGTATGTAGGTATGTAGGTATGTAGGTATGTAGGGAGGTATGTATGTATGTATGTATGTAGGTAGGTATGTATGTATGTAGGTAGGTATGTATGTATGTATGTGTAATGTAATGCAATGAAATGTAAATGTGAATGTAAATGTAAATTTAATGTAATGTATGTATATATATATATAACATCTCCCTAGACAAACATAAACCGCCGGGGGTGAACTTGACCGGCAATCATTTAGGCTGTGTCTCAGCTTAATCATGGTCCTTCTCAAATAGACGTTGAAATTGGACCCTCTTCGCAATGGGATTGTCATAACTGAAAGTCATGGTGAATGAGATGGTTTATGGCAGTTTACCACATTCACCATTTTACGGGTGTGTTTCTATAATATCCCATTATATCGTATTATATCCCCGTTATTCTTGATATTATACCCTCAATGTTTGTTGGTTTAATCAACAATTAAAACCATGTGTATGGTCTTATCCCCTTTATACCTCCATGAACATCCCGTTATACCATGTTATACCACTATTTTTATGGTTAAATCTATCCCACCTAAATTAGATCGTGTAAGTCCCTATATTAACCAATCAACCAAGGCATTTTGTTCATGGCTCATTTGTAACCAATGCCTGTTAAAATCCCATGTTTACGGGGTGATATCATGTTATATCCCATTATATCCCAGTATATCCTAATGATTGTTGGTCAAATCAACATTTATATCTCAGTTTATGGCTTGTTCCTGATTTTCCCTGTTACAATGCCTACTGGGGCTTATACCTGATCTTCAGCCACCCCCATGTATGCATCCCACCTGAAGGAGTTGACCCCAAGGTCAATAACCAATGGTCAACAAAGGGCTCAACTCCCATTAATAAACCATAAATATTGTTGAAATCCCATCTTTAAGGGTTTCTATCAATTTATATCAAATTCAAAATCCATCATATCTCATGATAAAACCCAAATGATTCCAATGTTTGTTGGTGAAATCGTGAGATATACCATGATATACCATTTATTGGTGAAAATTCCATTCATAACCCATAAATATTGGTGAATATTCCAATGATATTAACCAACCCTACCAACCTGCGCCAAGTTGCACTCCTTCGTTGCTTTGAATCAGCGGCTCGATCAATGTGGAGGGCTCCATGACCACCGGCGCACCACCCGCCTGACGGATCATTCCAGGCTTCAACGTGGAGGATCATCATATGATCATCATATGATCATCATATGATCATCATATGATCATCATTGGAATCATCACATATCTGGGTACCTCCAAATCTTCCATTTTAATGGTTTTTCCGGATTTTCCATGAAATAGACCATCTATTTTGGGGTACCCCCATTTATGGAAACTCCCATATATCAAATAAAGATGAATCAAAACCTCTGATTGGTTTCCCTGAAGGCCACGAGATTCTCAGGGCAAAGCAAAATGCTGGCATACTCAATCGGATTATAATATATATATATATGATGATAATGGTTCAAGCCTTCCACATATATATATATATATATATGGTCATCACAATCTTTAAAGATAGACTTTTTCACCGGGCGATTTTCCACCCAAAAGTGCCTTGGAACACGTGTACTTGGAACGAGCCCATCGTCCACCCTCGGAAAATTCGAAGTGGAAACCGCTCAGCAAGCCGTTCTTGCCGCAGTCCACGTTGATCATCTTCCTCAAACGCGGCAAAAACAACGGATAAATGGATATAAATGGAACAAATTGGACTGATTTACCAAAAAAACATAGGGGATTTAGATGGATTTCGCTGATTTACCGATTAACAGTGAGGTACTCGATGGATAGATTTGAGGTGATATAAGGCAGGAAAATGCATGGGAAAGAATACCTTTTACCACCACATTTACTGTACAGGTTTCCAGTAAACTTACACAAAATTTGGCCTTGAACTCTGGGATATATAGATGGATCCCCACAGCGAACATTGGGGCTGTTTGGTACCCAAACCCATGGATGCTGAAATTGAAACAAACATGCAAATATGATCAAATATGATCAAATATGATCAAATATGATCAAATATGATCAAATATGATCCAATATGATCCAATATGATCAAATATGATCAAATATGATCAAATATGATCAAATATGACCACATAGCAAATATGATTTGTGAGTTGTCTATCTCTTGCGTGCTCCAGGCCGCGTTCACCGGACGATTTCTGAGGGGTCCGGCAGGGAAACACCACGCCATGGTCACCATCATCCCCATCTCCAATTGCCAAATGAGGAAAGATCCGTTGCACCATTTACCATTGCTATTGAAAATGGCCATTTGTTGTTGATTTATCGATTTACCTATTAAAAAATGGTGATTTTAAGCATAGTTTTTTGTAAACGTTTACCAGAGGCTAAATTCCATTGCCAGCTTCAAAGACTCGATCCAGTTGGACCTCGTCTGATCGAACCTTTTCACTTCCACCTGAGCACTGAAGTATTCGTATTGCGCACCCAAACCACCTGAGCCGTCACTGGCGGTCACTGGCAACGCGAATCTTTTTTCGAGACTAACTTAGATACTTGTGGGGTTGTCCACTTATATAAATGGGGGGTGTCATGGTATACCGGAAAAAATGATGATACTGGATGATACTGGTATATAACCATTGAAAACCCTTTTGGGGGGTGACAAGTTGTAGCAATTCGAACGAAGATGATGATACTGGTAGCCATTGATGAGCCAGCGGACTTGGTGTGATTTCCCTTGGACACATCCTTAGGAAAAAGCGGTGGCATGTCGAGCTCTGTCACTTTGTCTGAAAATGATGGTGGAAAACCACTAAATCCAGTGGTTCCATCATCATCTTCCCTATCTTAGCCATGAACGGTGGATCTGCCCAGTCTTGGACCCCATGTGCATCGCGCCCCTGCCTATGCGACTGCACTCATAGCGGAACTTGTTGCTGGCAGGCTGGTGCTTGAAACCTGTCAGCGCCTCACCATCGGCACATAGAATTGGAGAGTCGGCAAGAAGTGTGTTCCAATCCGGCCAATTGGAACTGGTCTTGTCGTAGGTGATGGTGCTGTCAACAAAGACTCCGAACTTGATCACAGGAGCAAACTGGCACAAGGACTTCGTGCCACCCGTATCACCACCAAAGATCTGTCCATATGAAAGTCTGGAAAGCGCTCCATGTGCACCGCAGTACGAGGAGTAAGCGTTGTGCAAATCCTCCCCAGACTGACGGTCAGCAGTCTGATGCATGCTCCACAGAATGCCTGGCAAAGCCATTGGCGAGATCACTTGCTGTGCCTCATCCACATTGCACGTCTTGTGGATCACAGCAGGAGATACATTGTCACTGGCTTGTCGTGCTTCCAGGCATTGGTTGTTGTCAGGTTTGCCTGACAGCTATCCAGGAACTTGGGTGTGTCTTGGACTTCCATAGACCCAATATGTGGGAGGTACTTACCTTGAGGCCTGTTTTTTGGGAACACCTGTTCCACCAGTTTCAGCGAGTTTTGGTACAGGTTTTATTTTGGGTCCCAAAAAATTGCATGAATTCATACCCGTTTCTCCTCCAATTTGGTCCAAGAGTGAACTAAACACCAGGTTCCAGCCCTATCTTCTCATCTCAAAATCCATATTCATACCTGGTGATTTCGTTTGCCAGACAAGCCAGCCATCGGAATTTTCCTCAATTTCTCCATCGGGATCATCCTACCTGGGTGGCCCCTGGGTGGCCCCTGGGTGGCCCCTGCCTTCTTTCAAGAGCAGCATCATGCGCTCTTGGATCTCCGACGAGCCAGCCAGCTGAATCGCCAGAATCTCGGGGCATTCCTGCTGTCGAGCACCAAAGAATCTCATTGGGAATTGCTCAATGATTTGGGAGAACATGGAACTGGAGTTTTTTTGGGCAACGAATCATAAATTTTAAGTGCCAGCCATTGTTGCTGTTGACTTTCAAGCTAAAGGCACATCTGCAAGATTTAAGCAACCCTGCCGTTGCCTGTTCGTTTTGCAGCATCATGCCGCTGGAAGAGGTCTTATCCTTCTTCAAGCAGAACTTGTGCGCTGCAGCAGACGTCTCCACTACTGACCCCAGCTCGGTATAGACCCGCATGGCCATCTTGCTGTAGAAGTAAAGCTCCTGCTCGTTGCGCTTGATGTGCTTGGAATATCCACTTCCTGCTACAGCTACGCATGGCTCGCAAGTGAATTTGCCAAGTTCAGGAGTCTGCGCCGAGTTGAACCAGTCGCCGTTCACACAGTGCAGAGTCTCACTAGGTATTTTCACTTGGGCTCGGAAAGACTCAAAGCGCTCCTTCCAGCAACTCACTGTCAATTCGCTACCATGAACGAAGCTCTTAGGAAGAACCTTCTTCTTGTCCCAGGGATGGTAGTTGGGATTGCGGTAGGAGGGTCGGGAACAATGTTCCACGCCAACTCCGCCCATCAACAGAAGTGAATCACATTGCTGATGCAAATGCATGTAGTAGAAGGACAAAGGAGCAAGGTGACCAATCGCGCGGTTCTCAGTCACCGGTGTCTCCAACAAGTTTGTGTCCGGCTGCAATTGGATTTTCAACTCACTGAGCACCGTAGCAGCTGTCGTCAAAATCGCACAGCGGCCCATGACTTCAATGGTATTTTGAACGGTGCTTGCTCGGCCTGTCGCAGGATCACGCTTCAACTTTAAAGATGAGAATATATGGGGGGGTCCTGAAATGGGGTACCTCCAAATCATCCATTTTAGATTGGGATTGTCCATGAAATAAACATAAATAAACCAACTATTTTGGGGTACCCCCATTTATGGAAACTCCCATATCTAATTACATTAATATGTACATTATTTACTGACCTGACAAGGAGTAACCACAAAGTGCTCACCATGACTTCAGGTCTCCAAGGTACCACCACTGGTCCTTGCATAGCAGGTGTTTCCATCACCTTGGAACTAAAATGGATTGGTTTAGGGGGAAATTTACATAGGAAAATCGATGGTAACCCCGGTTTCCGGTTAAGATTTTCCCTACCAATCCATTGAGGACAGTTTCACATTGCGGGTGAGGGATCCCTATTTTTGTGGGTGAACCATGGAATGCTATGCACACTCCGTTTGAAACCGGCTTTGTTGGAGTTCGTGGCCCTTTTCAAGGAGTCACAGCATATTCCGGATTCCAAAAAAGACTTGGTGGATGACCTAGTGATTCAGAGAAAAACATCGCCGAAAAAACATCAGCAAATCGGTGGATCATCATGATGAAGTCATGGAAAACTTTACACAAAAAATCATCCGCTTGGCATCATAGTGTTTTCATGCCAAGCTCCCTGCCAAGCTAGCTTTGGTCCCTTATCATTAGGTCATCCACCAAAACATGGATCGGTTGAGTCGATGCGGATGCTGCTGAATTTGCTGCCGGTGGCGACATGCCGACGGTGTCCCCGGGGGGGATTGAGCCACGGCCAAACTGCTTGTGAACCAGGCAGCCGAGGAGGGAGGGGGGTAGTTAAGCATGAAGTTTCATGCGATTGGAGATTCCAGCCCCCCCAATTCCTTGCTAAAGCAAGAGGGACTTCAGCTAGCAGAAGCTAGCTTTCGTGAAAAAAAAACAAAAAAAAACCAACCAATCCAAGTCACCCCAAACCTTCACGCAGTTGTCGCCTCGCCCCGTGGTACTCTTGCACCAACATCCCGTCAAGGTGCGTCCGCTGGGACAACTCGCTGCGGGTCCTTTGTCCTGAACAAGAAATTTGAGGTGGCCTCTTTGCATCCAGTGGTTTCGGTGATGTTGTCATTTTTTTCAAAGATGCTGAAAACATATGGAAAAACACCATGCATTTGTTGCAACTTTATACGTTTAACTAGGACATGTGTTATTGATCCCCTTTTTACCCATGTACATTCTTTGTTGCGGCTCTGCCGTGCGTCCTCGTTGGACCAGTAAGATCCAGAGGCCGAGATGTCGCTCCAGCTTCGGGCCGCGGGCTCGGGAATGTTGGCGCAGATTGCTTGGGCATAACCACCTGAGCGCATCCAGAGGGTTTGCCGAAAACTTGGAGAACCAGCTTTTGGGTTCCATTCTGACCGGCGCCGTACGAACTGGGAGCTGGGAACTGGGAAACTGGCGTGGACACTTTGATTTCTTGGTTGATGGCTTGCATATAGAAGGAATTGACCCATGGCACCATTTGGTCAAAGGAGACACTTTGTGCTGGCACCCTTCGTATCCCTTCGTGATGGTTAAGTGATGTTAAGTGGTGAAGTGAGAGCATCAAAGGCAACTTCGGCGGTGCAACAGTCCTTGTGAATGCTCCCTACTGAAGTACTGGACAGTACTGGCTGTATCAATGGCAACCCTTGCAGCCCCACCTTTTGCGTAGCAAGTTTCGCCTGACCTCCAGACCTCCTTGCAGTGATGCTTGACGGTCCAAGTATGTCTCTTCTCAGTGAAGTCATCCATGTAGCAGTTGCAGCCCAACACTTTTTGTCCTGGCGATTTTCGGGGAAACATAATGAAATCAGCCACGGAATCTGGAATGCTGCCCAAATGGCCCAACGCCCAAACTGCGACCCAAGTTCTTATTAGATTTTTGAATAGCTCACAGGCACTGGCCGCGCGAATTTGAATAGCACTCGGTTGTGTGTTGTCCCGAGTGGCACTGCCAAAATGACGTCCTGAGTCACAAGAGGCTGACACGCTGCTTGGCAAGGTGCGTCTGCGGCGGGAGCGTCTGCGGCGGGAACGTCTACGTCGGGAGCGTCTGCGGCGGGAGCGTCTTCTGCGTCGGCGACGGCGACGACGACGCCAACCCTGCGACTCAGAAGCACTTGACTCGCCTTAGTTTCAGTCGTCCAAATCTGTCTGGATCATACGTGTTTTGGCCATCCACTGTTTTTATGTGCTTTACACTTTCATTTTCCTATGATCTTTCATGACAACAACTGTCAAATCGCGCCCTCAAAGGCAATCCGATAATCCCTCGGTCTGGCACCTTCTTCCAACAGCGACATGGAGTGATTGTGTGAATCCATTGGTACATCCCCATCTTCCGAATCCTCATCAGACTCGTCATGCTTCGGGTCTTTCAGACCGGTGTCATCATCGTCATCCTGAAAGAGGGTGGGTTACCTCAATCTTTGTGTGTGAAAATATGTAAACATCATTTACCCCAATTCGCATGATAACATTCACCATGCTATGATACCTCTGATCCACAGCTCCAAAAACTCGCATTGCAACTGGTACTAAAAGTACTTAGGCTCTTGTCGGTCGGATACGTAGTTAGATGTAATTAGGCAAAAAAGTCAGTCTCAAGCACCTACCTAACACAACGCTGCAGCGGTCCTTCAATTCCTCTGTCTCCTCCGCATCGACACCTTCCGTCGCATCGTCCGTTTCCACATCAAGATCTTCTTCTTCCTCCTCTTCACGGGCTTGCCCCACTGCATCCAAACTCATCTCACGATCTCCCTCATCATCCACGCTGTTCAAGCTTGCATTCTCTCCCATCTGCAACCAACTGAAACTAGGTCCACCACTGGTCTTGACAGAATAAGAACTTGCAAATCGCAGCTCCATGCAGCGTGTCTTTGCACGAACGGTAATGCTCTTTCCTGTGCTACCAACCACATCCATGGTACCATAAGCCCAACACGTAGCGCCATCCGTTTTGGAACCCGAACATATCCCGCTCTCCGCAATGCAGGTGCAGCTGGTAACTCGGTAGCGACGCCGGCAGTTCTCACTGGCTGTGGAGCTGGATGTGCCACTGGTACGGTCGTGCATGTTCAGGGGATAGTTGAGGGCCTCAACAGGTTGAGGGAACCAGCAGTGAGGATTTGATAAGTTGAACCAGCAACAACTTTCAAAAAATATCCAAAATGACTTCGCATCTTCGAATCAACAAGGTCCCCAGCCTCGAAATCAAAGACCAGTTCTCCACGTGGTGTAGCTGCCACGGTTCCCTCACGGTTGTAGGTATTGCGGCGACGCGAATACTGAGACACTGTGACTTGGCTGCCGTGGTTCACGGTGAGTTTGTAGTTGTGCGCGGGAACTGCAGTGATGTGCTTGATGGAGTACTTGTAGTTCTTGTTGGGGTTTAAACCCTGCACCACAGTAGTTGCAATACCTGGTGAGTCTCGGACAAAGCCAGCATTGTGCTGCATATACGACCAACCCAGGAGTTTGATGGTCGACATGTTCCCGAACGGCTCGATGTAGGTGGTGCCTGGATTCTTGGAACCTGTTGAATTGGAGGTCCAGCTGCGAGTTCCACCCCAGTTCACAACTGCAGCAGCCCGAGTGAAAGAGGGCGAAGTTCCCTCTTTTTGGGTCAAGAACTGCTTGCGAAGGGTTGTCTTCCAGCAGTTCTCGGGGCTTGCCACCTGACAACCTCGACGGAAACCGAGATCCGATCTCTGGAAATTGAGAGATACACCCAAATCACCATTCTAATAGCTATTCTAACTGGGGAAAATGATGATACCATAATTCGGTGGATTTTGCGGTACCCCATTTTTCAGACATTTTCAGACAAACCATAATCTGAAAAAAACATTGAGGTCGGGATAAATCGTCAAGCAGCTGATGTTGCGAGACATCGCCTTAAGTTCTCCTTCCATCCCAAACTCTCGCACCAAGCTGTCACAACCTTCATAGAGCCGACAAGTGGTGGCACCGTGGGAGGTTCCAGACCAGAAGAAGGAGCACTCCTGACACTGCTACCCCAAAAATCATGGTTTTGTGGCCAAAATTCACGTCTTTGGGGCCTCCACGAGGACCGTAAACCCAAAAAACTCGACACAACCTGGGCATTCGAAGGCGCCACCGATGGACGTCTGGATATCGACTCCCACTCGGAAGCACGCTCAATGAACCCCAAAACACCGCGCCTTGTAGTCTTTGCAGCGCTCCTGGCAAGCGCAAAACTCTGCTGTTGCGATCCACCGCACTTCAAAATGCTAGTCTCCAAATTGGAATCTCCAGGCTTGCACACTGCACCCAATGAAGCAAACTAAGTTCAAGAAGCATTGTACTGGTGACTGTGCACATTGTACATAACACATAATCAAGGATAGACACATATGTATATACATAATTACATACATATTATAATATATATTGTACACATATAGTAGTATTTTAATAATCGTGGACATACACGGATCAATCCCGACAAACATCAATATGTGGCTCCACCACAGTCCTCGCAGTCTGCCGGCTCCATAGATTCAGCTTCTGATTGGAAGTGAATTCCTTTGGCTCCCTTCAGCAGCTGCCTTGAAGGACACGCAAACTGGCCTGCATTGCAGGGTCGAGGTCGACAAATGACACTGTACCAAAATAAATAAATAGCTGTTGCCTAGGTCGCAAAAACCATTCACCAGCTCGCTTCAGGCCTGAGACGATAGAGAAGGGTTCGGGGATGAAGCTTCCATTGCTGGTGGGTGGGATATTCTCCAGCGCGATGGGATCTGCCGGCCACTCGGTGCCCCACTGCTGTGGCAGGCAGTCGCAGGGGTGCAGCCAGAAGTCGTTGGGCTGCGACGTGCTCGGGTCATCGAAGACCAAGGATTGCAAGGCCTCCTGCAGGCTTCGCCTTTAACGCTTTTTGTGAAAACATTCCCAGGAATAAAGCCGCGGCTTGCCCGGCTTGCCATAGTTATACAAGGTTATACAGTATATAAGAATATACATATACCCTCCAGTTGTCAAACATGGCTAGCTGGACAATGTTTCATTTAGTTCAATGATTTTCGGATTTAAATGCCCATTTAGAGTGGATTTGCCAGGTTTGATTTCTGGCAGTTGTAAACTCATGCCCAGAAACCAGGCAGTTGCCAACCCTAGAACCGGTAGGAAACCTGGCTTCACCGCCAGGTTTTTGTTCCTCCTCTGCTTCTGGAAACAAAGGTCTCGCACAGGGCAAGGTGGCCAAGTCCAACTTGATGCTCGTCGCAGAGCTTGGAAGGTTTCCCTCAATGCAGACTTGTTCTGCACCTCCCATCAAGTCGAAAATAAAAAGATAAGGGAACACGTTTTCTCTTTTTTCAGTTGGCTCATCCCTGCACAAGGTATGAAAAGAAAGAATCCCAACGTCTGGCCTTTCAGTTCAAAGTACCCCAGCTGGGCATCCACGTAATCGTCATCGCTGGCTTTCTGCACCAACCATTTGCCAGCGGCACAAGTAGAGGTTCCGGACGAGGTGCTCAGGTACATCACCTCTTGCGGAATGGAACTCTCCTTCTTGTAGACCACAAGTCGCGTGGGTGTCTTCGCTGGTGGACCCACAAACTTGCAATCAGCTTCACCATGGACGATCTTGAAATGCCTCGCAGGGCGTTTCAAAAAGTCGCACATATAGCTCAGGGGGTTCACCTGTTCTGTAGGTGTCTTCGGGTGTCTTCGCAAAGTAGTACCGCTCATGTATATGTATGTGTATATTCTTAAATAACACATTATGTGTTTGAAATTGGTTGAACATATCTATGTGTAATACAAACTTGGCTGATCCTTCAAATCACTTCAGCATGTCCATCAGCTTTCACCTTAAAAGAAATCCTCCACCGGGCTCAACCGCTCCTCACTTTGAAATTCTTTTCTCGGCCATAGAACTGCATCACGCTGTTCCCGGCCGGCGCCGTCACCTCGGGCGAGTCGGCCGACGACCAGCCCCAGTCGGAGGTCTGTCCCGTGTGCCACGCGAGGCGGGAGCCGGTGCCCTTGATCTGCACCCACATGGAATCGGAGGCACCGTCCGGGCCAATCATCTCAGCCTTGAATTTCAACTTCGTCTCCTAACAGGTGAAAACCCTCAGAGTTGACATCACCGTGTCACACGATGATGTCCATGGGCTGTGCATGACCTAATATCTCAGATCAGAGACATGCAAAAATCAAGCAAGCAGCAACTTTCCGTCAATCTGGAAGCTTACTATAATTGTACATGAATACGATTCAAAGCAAATGCAAACGCTTTGTGATTGAATGTATGCAAATCAAATGCCTGGTGTCACTTCAAGTACGTATATATCCATTTCTATCCATTTCTAATCATTTCTACATGTCTACCACTCGGAACGTCAATCTGCCATAGCAGGCAAGGGCCACTAAAAATCCTCCTCCGTCCTTGGAACACTTCAGATTGAATTCCAACACACCACAGGTGAACTGATCTGCTCCATAACAGACATCGGGCCCAGGTTGCAAGATGTAGTCACCTGGAGGAGAAAAACCTGCTGGTTTGGGGATTCCTGGAACCCAATCCAGCAACAAGGGCTGAACCCTGCAATGTTTTTTTGAAGCATTCCTGAGTAATGCAACTCATCAGATAAGAAAATCAAACTGCTGGTTTCACGTTTGTTTCACTAGTTGCAACAGCTGAAACCTTCCAACCGCATCTCAAAATACCCACGTCTTCCACACTGGCACCTTGCGTTGTCAACTGCCCAGACATTTGCACGTTATCCTGCGCCCGAATTTGTGTCACCTCCCTGGAAACTTCAAGGCCAGCAGGCGGTGCCTAGCACTGGACCGGACAAATGGCTCCATGGCCCCACGGCCATGGGGCTGGTTTCAAACAAAGAGATTTTTTAGGAAATGTGTGGTTCATTTATTATCTGGATAATCTCGAACATATATGTATATATATATAGTATTATATATATAATTTGGTTCAGGCACATGCCTCTATAATTGCCCCTTTGTGTTTCGGCTGACGTGTACCGTTCTGGTTGACGTTGTCGGTGATGTTGTAAACGCCGTTTTTTTTTTGTCTTACGTAAATTTTGACGTTGTAAACGCCGATTTTTTTTGTCTTACGTAAATTTTGACGTTGTAAACGCCGATTTTTTTTGTCTTACGTAAATTTTGACGTTGTAAACGCCGATTTTTTTGTCTTACGTAAATTTTGACGTTGTAAACGCCGATTTTTTTTCTCTTACGTAAATATTGACGTTGTAAACGCCGATTTTTTTCCCTTACGTAAATTTTGACGTTGTAAACGCCATTTTTTTCCTTACGTACATTTTGACGCTGTATAAACGCCATTTTTTTTCTTAAATTTGGATCTTGTAAACGCCACTTTTAGTCTTGTTCATGTCATGATTGATGTTATCAACCCCGAACTTTTCTTGCTTCAAGTCATGACTGACATTGTGAGTGTTGTTTTTTTTGTTTCCTGTGATTTATGCGTCATGAGTCATGATTCATGATTTACTATGCGCGCCCATTTTTGTTCATGTCGTTATTGCAATGATGTTTTTGATGTTGAGATGGGTCAATTCTTTTTGTATTGTCACACTCCTGATTCCTGATTACAGTTTTTGGTTTTTGTTTGTTTCTTGAAATTCAGCTGGCATTGAAGCTGGTGGGTGTGTTTAACTTGTCTTTTTGTCCCTCCATTGGCCCTTCATTTGTTGGTTATGCCGTCGTCGTCGTCGTCGTCGTCGTCGTCCGTCGTCCGTCGTCCGTCGTCCGTCGTCCGTCGGTCGTCGGTCGTCGGTCGTCGGTCGTCGGTCGTCGGTCGTCGGTCGTCGGTCGTCGGTCGTCGGTCGTCGGTCGTCGGTCGTCGGGTCGTCGGTCGTCGGTCGTCGGCGTCGGTCGTCGGTCGTCGGTCGTCGTCGTCGGTCGTCGTCGTCTGTCGTCTGTCGTCTGTCGTCCGTCGTCCGTCGTCCGTCGTCCGTCGTCCGTCGTCCGTCGTCCGTCGTCCGTCGTCCGTCGTCCGTCGTCCGTCGTCCGTCGTCCGTCGTCCGTCGTCCGTCGTCCGTCGTCGGTCGTCGGTCGTCGGTCGTCCGTCGTCGGTCGTCGGTCGTCCGTCGTCCGTCGTCGTCGTCGTCGTCGTCCGTCGTCCGTCGTCCGTCGTCCGTCGTCCGTCGTCGTCGTCGTCGTCGTCGTCGTTGTTGTTGTTGTTGCTCTTCTTCTTTTTCTTCGCTTTCCTGTTCTTGTTCTCGTTGCTCCGTTCTTGGTGATAACCGTGCTTGTGGGTCACTGTCACACATTGGTACATGGTTGCGTTGTCACATCGTCACTTCCTGCTTGTAAGTGTTGCATAGTGCATGATGCTGAATAAATGATGAACCAATTCGTTTCCTTAAACCTGGTAGATCCTGGTAGGCTGTGGCAAGTAAAACTGGTAGGTAACGGCAGGTAACAAGACAAGACTCACCTGCGAGAAAGGCAGGTCCGATCAGGATGCACGCACGCACGCACGTCCACGCACGTACGCACGCACGCAACGCGACTCTACGCGCCCCGAAACCAAGCAAAATTCGATCTCACTGAAGTACTGTGTGACTAGTGCTGTAAACTAATGGGCAAATGTGTGATGACACACGGGCAAATTATAGAGGCAAGAGCTTAATATAAACACAGTCCCGAACTATCCCGAACTATCCCGAACTATTCCGAACTATATGAAATGCATCCGAACGGTTCAGAACGGTTCAGGTGTCACACCGTTTTCCCCATCCTTGCCCCCAGGATGGATCTCAGAGGGCCACTGACCGCTCACGTGACAAGATTGCCTGCCTTAGACGGGTTTGGGTGTGACATATACTTGTCAGAAGATTGTGAAATTTAGCCTGAGTTTCTTCCAGCCCCGTTCTTTGGGAAAACATTCTGCCACGACTTGTGTCACAGCCTAAGTTACTTTCAGACATGTTTTTCTTCACCGAAGTTTTACTTGAAGTACCTTGGCTTATGGCAATTTACAACTCACAACTTGCAACTGACATCACTTGTCTTACAACTTTTCTTCCTCTTATAATTTGTAACTAACTTAAAACCTCATAGCTTAAAACCTTTACTTGCTTACAAGTCATGCATCTTCAACTTGTTAACTTAAATGATAATATGTTGTAAAATTGCCCACTTTTAAGCCTAGAATCTAAGGCAAAAACCTGATACGCTTGAACCGTTCTGAACCGTTCGGATGTATCGGAGGCCTGAGTTCGGATTAGTTCGGAATAGTTCGGAATGGTTCGGGATAGTTCGGAGACGCCTGAACCGTTCTGAACCGTTCGGATGTATCAGAAACTGATACGCCTGAACCGTTCTGAACCGTTCGGATGTACCGGAAATTTACCATGTTTTTAAAAGTATTTTTCTATATTTTTTGAACTTAACTTGAACTTAATGTTTAAACATGTAATTTTATCATCATTGACATGGATAACTTACTGATAACTTAATAACCTTTCAACTGGTGGGCTGACAAAAACAGATCCTTTAACTTAACTTATCACTTATCAGAATAATGAATCAAAACTTCATAATCATAATGAATCAAAAATGCCAAATTTACAGCATCAAAATTTACGTCGGGAAAAAAACGCCAAATTTACAACAAAATTTACGTGAGGAAAAAAAACACCAAATTTACAACATCAAAATTTACGTGAGAAATCGTGAGAAAAAATATGCCAAATTTACAATATCAATATTTACATGAGAAAAAAAACGCCAAATTTACAACATCAAAAATTACGTGAGAAAAAAAAACACCAAATCTACAACATCAAAAATTACGTGAGAAAAAAACGCCAAATTTAAAACATCAAAATTTACGTGAGAAAAAAAAACACCAAATTTACAACATCAAAATTTACGTGAGAAAAAAAACGCCAAATTTACAACATCAAAATTTACGTGAGGAAAAAAAACACCAAAATTAAAACATCAAAAATTACGTGGAAAAAAACGAGAAATTCACAACATCACTTGCAACATCGAGGACAACATTGGACGTGTGCCAAAACACAGATAGAGGCAAGTGCCTGAACCAATATATAATATATATAATATCATATGAAAAAATATATATATGTATTATACATGTATTATAATCTAATACATATATAATATAATGTGTATATATATATATATTTAATACATATTTAATATAATATAATATAATATAATACAATACAATACAATATAATATAAATAGTATAATATATGTATATTATATACTATATAATAATATATAATTCACTAAACTTGAAGATGTTTCCCCATATTAACCATCAATCAGAGTGACGTCGCGACGTGAGGTCATTACAATACATTGTAATTTATCCAGATTTATCCAGATTGTTGACACCATAAAAACTGGTGATATACCAACTGTAGATGGATTGTAAGTCATGGTTTGCCGACCGGAGTTGATGAGCAAACATGGTGTGGTATCCAACCCTTTCAGAGCATGATTGACCACAAAAGTCCCTTTTCGCATCCGTACAACATGGACCCTGACTCGCATCGCTCACTGGTCTGCGTTCTGTTTCAAAGGAAGTGAGAAATGTGAGAATAGACAGCAAACATATGCATCCGGTAATCAAACATGGCAATTGGAAACCCCTGAGCTAGCCATGGAGCTTTGTAGCTTGGAAAATCATCCAACTAAATGGGGGGATCTTCCAGCTAGGTTTGATGACACCCGCGATGATTCAACTTTGTGCAACCCCCACCAACGATTTATCAACATGCCTCTCAAATCTCCTGTTCCATCCTCAAAATCCATATTTGATGGTCAATGGTTAGATTCCCTACCCAACCTGGGCCAACCAACAGAGGTTCATAAGTTCCCAACCATCAACTACAACTCCTTCACTGGGCAAATGATACTGATTCACTAACCTAAAAAGTAAGGCTATCTTGAGATAATTCCCCCAAAACATTCTGAGAAATCACGACGTCACGACGTCAATTCACTCATAATTTACCCAAACATACCCAGACTGTATAGGTGATGATTCAGTGATGATAGGTGATTCTTGGTTTGGGAAACCTCTGGTGACTTGGGGATCCCCTTGGGAACCCCTCACCGTACACCGGTGCCCACCTGGAATCCAATGGGGCAGTAGTCCCCAGCAAGGACCTGCTATGCAGAAAGTTCAAGCATTTTTTGCGGGCAAAAGGCAAAGTGGTTTCAACATGTTTCAACCATCAATAGGGATTCAATATGGATCAATGGATTAGGGACTTCCCTCTAGGGATTCAACCATCAAAGCGGGATTTTCGCATCACATTCATTCAACGGCCAGGCCAAAGCCATCACCGAGCCATCGATTTCAAAGGTCCACCAGTCAGCGTTGCAACTGGGAGTCAAAACCCGGGGTTTTTCGCCGGATGGTAGGCCTAAATATATAGCTGGTTTATGCATGGTTATTCCCCCATACCCCAATCATATGGTAAGTTCATTCAATGGATTGGTTTAAGGGAAAATCTTAACCGGAAACCATCGATTTTCCCATTAAAATCCATTAACTATGGGGTTTTCCCGTTAAATTTTTCCCACCAATCCATTGATTCATAGCTTTTGACCCATCCCCAACTCAGCCCTCAGCCGCCCCCAGCGACCCATTCGGAATGCGCAAGCCGCAGGCAGGTGCCCATGTCCGTGCAGCCGGTGACTTTGGCATAGGCCGTCACGGGCGAGCCGCCCTCGTTCTCCACGCGGTAGTGCTTGCACTTGTCCTGGCGAAAGGACTGTGAAAAAAGGGACGTCAACTTCCGATTGATAGAAAATGTGGTGATAAGTTTCATGATGAGTTTCATGAACTGAACCAGAAAAAGCGGCTCAGGGAGCTATGTAAACTAGTTCGCTAATCACTGAACGTATATAATAAGTCAATGAGAATATATAAGCTCATCACCTGCTTGTGGGTCAAAACCCGGGGTGCTACCCTGGTATAGCTGGATGGTTATTCTCCAGTATCCCCCATTCAGACATGGTCATTTCATAGATTTTGACTTTTGACCCATCCCCATCTTACCATCATGTTGCATCAACGGAGTCATTCTGCCAGCCCGGTCCTGGCTCCAGGTAAAATGAGAGCAACGTTTCGAGAGTCGACACTTGTTCCTGCAGACTGCCTCTGTCAGTACAGTCGACTCCTCGATGACTTTGCCCTGGAACGTCTCAGAGATCCAGCACATGCTGTCCTGGTGGCATGAAAGGTCATATGAGCCACGCTTTCTGTTTCCATTCTGCAACTCACTTGCGTGTCTTACAAGGCCCATGTGAAAACTTCAGACAGTGGAACCAGCGGAGCCAGGGAGCAATCCCAACACCGTTTTTCGGGGCGGAAGATGTTGTAAATATGGATCTACAACGATCCATTTCCTTCCCTAGCGTC